TCTGTTTTGATCTTCAGTCTAATTTGTATCACAGTCCTTTGAAATTATTCATTTTAACGAAATTAAGGCGCGATTTATACATAATATGTATGTATCAAAAGTTAAAGTATTTTCTTGCAAAATATTCAGGTTTTGTGTATTCTATATTGCATCTATATGGGGCTTATACGACATAGTCCCCAAAGGTACCAGTATCAAGAACACCCCAAATGAACAGCCTCTAAAAACAGAGAATGAAGAGTCCTCAGAGAAAACAGTAAATAGTCCCCATATAGAGCTGGATAAAGAGTCCCCAAGAAGCATAGAGTCCGCTAGGTAAACAGTATCAAGAGTCCCCAAAGTTAACATTATGAAGGACCTCTAAAAATAACAAAATGAAGAGTCATCAGAGAAAACAGTAAGCAGTTCACATAGAGAACTCGATGAAGAGTCCTCAAGGAGGGAAGATAAAAAAGAGTCCGCTAGATAAACAGTATCAAGAGTCCCCAAATTTACCATTGTGAAGAATCGTCATAGTGAAGGCCATGAAGAGTCCCCAAAGAAAACAGAGTAATAAATCAAACATTGACAACAAAAAAATAACTAATATGACATCTGTATGAATCGGACATTTAAATAAATATTCAACTGGAGCATATTTACGATGCATACACGCAGCTGTTAAATGTACAATCTTTATTTCATTGTAAGATTCTCAAAACTGCACTTTCTGCAAAATAATTATCTTAGTATATACGATAACCTAAAAGAAAAGTAACGGTTGTCGATAATATTTTCATGAATGAAGTTAAATTTATCAAGGGAACATTCTTTATATAGTTTGTTGCCTAATATAATTTGTATTCAATAATTGCCAAGTTAACACCGGTCGTGTTTTCTCTTTGTAGACACCTATTAACTTTTTACAAACCCATACAGACAAATAAAATAAAATTAAGATACGATGAACTGTAATTATCACAATTGTATAGAATATAATATGCATAGATTTCCTGTATGAATTACCCACAAAATAATTGTACAATTCTAACTTTGTTGATTTCAGCTACAATGAATTCTCCCTCGTTGTTAGAATCGACAAAAATGGTGCGTTAAACCTTAATTTTCCAACCACCGTTGCGAAATATGATTCTCTCTCTAAGATTGCTGGTTTAAATCCTGGTTTTGTGTATAAGGCATTTTACAGCCATTGCCTTGACCTTTTGAAAACTTCTATGTGTTAATGTACTGTTTAACGCCAAAAAAAAATAGATGCAAAGGCACTACTGAAGGTCAGTTATTTGTGTGTTGTTTTGTGTTTAATGTCATGTTTCGTAGTATGATAAGCTATAAATGACAGTTCGTAAAACTGGTAGAGGAAGAACCGGGGAAAACCCCGGTAAAAACCCCCGACACACGGGAAAGTACAGGCAAATTTTCCCACAAATCCACATTAGCCGAGCCGGAGACTCGAACACAGGAGGCCAGAGGTGAGATGGCACTGATCATAAAGGCGAACGATTTAGACAACTAGGCCACCAGATGTCCCTCTGTGTGTGTGTGTGTGTGTTTGTGTGTGTGTGTTTGTGTTTGTATGTGTGTGTTGAAACTTAGCGACAGACATATTGATTAACTGGGGTCAAAGCTACAAGTTAAGTCTTATCTCTAGAGGCGTGTTTCTATAATGAAATTGATTTCATTTTAACGTTGAATGATTGGAAATGATTTATTACTCAATAATTAATGCAACATTGCAACAAAGATATATATATATATATATATATATATATATATATATATATATATATATATATATATATATATATATATATATATATATATATATATATATATATATATATATATATATATATATATATATATATATATATGTAGTGATATTTATGAGAAAAAATAATTCTGAGGTTTTGCTCTTACGCTTCAGAAATATTTCGAAGTGAAATTTATGGGGCTATAAATGTCAACTTAATTATATTCCAACGTCCGTCATTTGAGTCTCTTTAAATACATTCAATCATCTTACGGGTCTGTATTCAAATAACTAACCAGAAACAGTACAAGATAGTTGGAATAAATACGAATATATAAATTTAATGGCGAAATAATTTTCATATTTTTTCATTCCTATATTTTCAATTGTGAAAGATATATACTTATTTAAAATTATTAGATTTCACATCACAGCATGCGACTATTGATTTTGTATGCCTCGCAAGGTTATGCCTACAGCTAAAAAATAACTATTTTGTGAGCTAGAATAAATAAATGTCTTTCTCTTGAAGCTGCTTCCCCTAAATGCTTGACAGCAACCATAAACCAGTTGTGCTTCATTGCTGAAAGGGACGAGCATTTTTTAAAGATTGGGACAAATAGTTTACAAAATAAAAAAAATTAATTTACCGCAGCAGATTGAGTTAATCCAATCCTATCGCTTTATTAAGTCATGCAAAATTTATATCATCAGCCTCTGACTGTCAGGCTAATTTACGAAAATTATATA